GAACACAAGTTTTGTATATTGGCACCTTTTGTTTCCTGTGAATCCATTTTCCTTAATCCTTGTGTTCTATGTGTTAGTTCTTGCGACTCACTATGCCGACTTACTTCACCAGTCACATCCTTCCCCACATCCACTTGAGTCATTGGATTTTCCTCAGCATTCTTATCCCCAGGAGTCTGTCCATAAAAGAAAAGATTATATAATCCTTTTGTAGTATGCCTTATGCCATCCATAAACCATCCCCCTTCTTTTGGAAATTGGTTTTCAAGCAACCCAACTTCCTTTTCTGGCGACATTTTCAGAACAGCAGCTTCACTTATCAAAGTACTTGCTTCAAGTCTCCTTTTGCCATGCTTGCTTTTCATCTCTGGAGAAAGTTTGTTTACAGTTGAATTCTCAGAGTCAGACTCAAGTTCCATCTCACCAAATTCAAATTCACTATCAAAAGCTTCTTCTCCCTTAAAGTCCTCTAAATCCTCCAACCAATCTCCTTCTTCCTCTTCAACAGGAAGCTGGAAATCAATACCATCAAATGCAGAATCTGGAGAACAACTAAGGAAATATATTTTACTTTCATCTAAATCATTCCCTTTTCTTGACAATTCCTTGAGTTCCTTTTCAACTTGCATATGGCATCCTCCTTGTGGAATTGGTATTGAAGTACTTCCTTTCAATCCTGATTCCTCTGGGAGCTCAAAATCTGTTATCATTCCAAAGGTGCATATATTCCTCTTTTTCTCTTTCATTACACCAGCCCAGTACTGGAGCACAGCTGCATTATTAACAGAAACAATATCACGAGCACCTTCCCCCTCTACTGACTCTGCTTGAGATGAGACTGATGTACTCATACTTTGATTCCCAGATAACCTTCCACTTATATTGGTATTTCCCTTAACCTGTGACATATTAAAGTTCACTGGACTGATTCTAACATCCTCTGACAAACTAAAAGTAGAACTTTCTTTTGTACTCATTAGAAGTGCTTCTTTGGAAGAAATCATGTACATATTGGGTTCACAAGCAAATTCCTGGATTTCCTCCTTCTCAACTGAAGAAACATGCTTTTCAGCATTAACATTATCAACATCTTTTTGTATATTATCACATTTATGAATAAGTTTATCTTCACTACTGGACCTATATTCCATTTCCTGTAGCTTTGGTACTACTGGTATGGATATGTCAATAATGTCTGAAGTTACTTCAATAGCATCCAAAGTATCTTCTTCTGCTATCATGAGTTTTTCTGGTTCAAAAGTTTCTGTACTTTGTACCATTTTAGGTAATTCATATGCTTGCAAGTCATTTACAAATTCATGGGTAACTGAGTATACCTCTTCTGCAGCAACTCTTATAAGTGAGACATCAGAATATGAAGTAGACATATGCTTCTCAGGTATTGTTCCACTTTGCTCAGAATTATCTTCAACTTCCAAGTATTGCAAAGATAAGAATGTCATTTCTTCTTCTACAAAGGCATGTACAAATGGCTCTTTTTCCACCTTCTTCATTTTTGCCTGTACTCTTTCCGGGAGCTGATACTGATTTTTGAACACCACAAAAACATCTATAAATTCTTGTGTAGCTTCCTCTGCAGATGCATGCATAAGTGCTCTGAGCATTTCCTCTTCAGCTAATGAACATACAGGAATATCTTCCATATCACTAGTATAATCATCATCATCATCATCATCGTTTGTTTTTAAGTAATTCTGATTAGCAGAGAATTCTTCCTCATTTGTCACATCTTTTCCTTCATCTTGTGATAGTGTTTCATCACTTGGTGCATGAATAAGTATCTGTGGTATTTTGAGGGCAGATGGTACATCTCCATCTGAAACTACAAATTCCATATCCTGTTCAAATATTTTATCATCTTCAACTCTGACTTCTTCTATCTTAAATGTGTCAATTCCACCAAAATTGATCTTTCTTGGTTCTACAAAAGTACTGATATTTCCAGGTTCAACAAATGTTACATTGGTTTCAGATTCCAATGACAACTCTTGCGTCACAGCCTCTAGTTCTACCTCTTCCACACTCTCCAGTGCATGCAACAAGTCGAGATCCTTCTTATTTATGACACCCTTTTGGCTTATGTTACAGTTGGATCTATTTTCTTCTGGGTACATATCTTTATCCTGTTTGTCACCTAGCTGACAACTCAATACATCACCTACATTAACATTTTTCACCATATTATGATCTATGTTTTTAAAATGTGACTCTATCTTTACTTTATCATCTTCAAAGTCAATAGCTTCTACTGTGATTAAATCAACAGGTTGAATATTATTAATTTTCTTGTCTTTAGAATATGTTACAAATTCTGTTTCAAGGTCTGTTTCATCTGAACTTACTATGTTGAATTCTTTCTCTTCATGTAAGGGTGAATAATCTACTCTATTTTCGTCCTCTGCACTTGAAAGGATTTGAACATCATGAGGGCAGGCTGCAATATCACTAAAATCTCTACCAGTCAACTCTTCTACTGGGGAGTTATTCTCATCCACATCCATCTCTTTATCTGTTACATTACTCTTTTCCCCTGCCATAATAGTTGAGTTCACCATCTCTGATAAACTTACTTCAATTTCACTGACAGAATATTTTTGATACAGCTCTGCTTCCACATCAAGCAACACAGCATGTGAATGTATTAGTGAAGGAACTTCTAAATCTATCCACACTGGTGCTGACATCTCTACAGCTTCAAATACTTCAGAGGCTGGCTCCACCAACATATTTGAAGAAGTATATGGGTGCTCTAAAACTGGAATTTCATTTACAAATTCCAGTTTGAACTCCTCCACTTGTAGTTCTAGAGGTGTGCTAAACATAAATACTCTGCATCTCTCATCAACTTTAGCAAAACCTTTATAATCAATTTCAAATCTACATAAAGCATATTCAAAATCATGTTTCATTACAGGAATCACTCCATTACTCTCAAGTTCCCAATGCATTGTAGAAGAGGCAATGAAGCTGCAATTACATTCAATTGTACAGCCTTTGGGTTTATGTGTAGCTGGTGGGGCTATATCTAGTTTAAATATCCTATCAAATCTCATAGGTTTCTGCATGACTTCTTCTGCAGGACCACAAACAATGAGATCCCTTTTCTCTGACAGAATAGTAGGAGCACTTGACTGCTCTTTCTCTTCACTGCCTAGTGTGTCATCTTTTACAAGCTCCTCTATAATTTTTGCAAATGGATCACCTTCCATTTCAAAAGAGGATGACTCATTGGTATCATCACCAAAAGGTTTCACACTTGCATAAACCTTAAATTCTTCATCACACTCATCATCAAAAGGTGTTGGTGTCTCACATGGTCCTGAACTAAACCAGACATTTTCATATGCTTTTTCAGGATCAAGTTTTGCATTCTGATCCATTTCATTATTATTTTCTTTTTCTACCTTCTCCCTTCTTACTGTCTGGCTTTCCTGTGAATCTTCAAATGAAACCCAGTTCATCATCACCTCTTTTAGCTTTCTGGGTGGAAGAGAAGGAACATCAAGACTAGATTTCCTCTCGGAATTTTTAACACTTAACACAACCTTTGCTGCTTCACTTTCTTGGTTGCCATCATTAGACTGAGATTTGGCTTGCTCAATATTGGCATTTTCACAACCTTTATCATCTTCCTCCTTATCATCTATTTTTTCTTTTGTGGTACTTTCTTCAATGGTCATTTTGTCTCTGCCTGTATCTTCTTTAATATCTGTATTTCTTGTAGAGTCAATAACTTCCTGATCTAATTTCCTACTCTCAGATACACCAGAACCTTCATTATCAGCCACAGTGATATCATTACCTTCTTTACTAGTTTTTAAAGTTACATCAAAACATTCATATATATCACCTTCAGAAATACTTTGGGATACAGTTCCCTGACATTTATCCCAGTCAAAGTCTTCAAACTTTGCCCAAGAAGAAGACATTACAAAGTCTTTAGGAAGAGTCTGTGACTGAGACTGTTCTTCCCACACAGAATTATTTGTTTCATCTGCTAAAGGTTTTGTAGCATCTGCACGAACAGCTTCTCCTAAAGCAGAGGAAGAGGAGAACCCAGCTTCTCTTTTTAAACCATATTCTGCCATTGTAACATTAAAACTGTCTGACTTTTCTAATTTTGTCTCTGTTTGCAAAATGCCTGTATCACGAACCTTTTTAGAATCAGTTTTATCACTGGATTTATCTGTTTTGTTATTCTTATGACTAACTGTTGGGGATTTTTCCTTTTTAGAAGTTAACTTGGACTTTTCAACATCTAACCTTTGGTCCTTTTTCCCTTTAGATTTTGTGGATGATCCATCACTTTCTGATTTTGTTCCTTTTTTTATTTCAGTTTTACCTATAGCATTCTGACCACCTGTATTTCTAGATAAAGCATCACCTTTCTTACTTGATGAAGTTTCTTTTGAGGTTGAGCTACTCTTCTTTAATTTTTCTCTGAAGTTTGAAAATGGCTTTGTTGATCTTGGCTGAATTGTTTTCTTATTTTCTTTCTGACTTGTAAGAGGCAAGGTTTTGACTTTTGCATCATTTGCTACTGGGGTTTTCTTTGTAGTTCCTTTTAACATTGCTGAAAATTTTCTGCGAGATGGACTTGAGTCATTATTCTGGAATCTTGCATAGGTAATATCACTTGTCTCTGGGCTGTCACCCCTCATAGGCATAACAACACTTGGATTATCAGTTTTCTGAGTCTTTTTACTAGCAGACTGCTGCTTCTGAGGACTTGAAGAAGTGTGGGTGGCTCCACTTTTAGCATTTTGTTTCAAAGGATTATTAGACTTTGGTATTTCACTACCCTTTGGCATGGTGGCTGCTGTTTGTACACTGCAGACATTTCTTCTCTGGTTTTCCAAAGGTGGAGGTTTTAGCTACAAAGGAAGAAAATGAGAGGAAAAAAGAAATCCAGAAATAAGACAGTTATCAGAAGACTTAGTGCCATAATATTCAAAACTATAATAAAGAGAGAATATATTTATATTTAACATTTTCTTTATCTTAACCTTTGGTACAAAGTAACTCAGTCAAGACATTGATATTAAAATTAATGTATGGCTAACATAAATACTCTTGCATGCTTTATTCAGTAAATTTTCATTCTACTTCCAAAGTTCTATTACTGCATCTATGATTAAATACAAGCATAGATAACTCAAGGCCATTCTTAAGATCAAAGCTTGCTATCTGTGTACAATGCACATAACAAGAAGCAATTAAATTTGGCTAATATAAAATATACATATGCCATTCATACACAGTAGGAAGCTGTATGTCAATGATCTAAAAAAAATACATGTGACATACAATATGGCTTATGGGAAATCAGATAGTTTGTTACACTAAGCTTATACCACAGTACATCTCCATGTAAAGCTATGAGAGCATAGATGTTCTTGTTGTGCAAAGTCATTCCTGTCAGGGGTGGCAGATGTAGTGAGGCACACCACCCGCAGCTCACCTTCTTGACGGGACTTTGTCTCTCTCTCATCACCACCTGATCCCGTCGGGTGGGGGAGAGGTCGAGGAGCCCTGGCACCTCCTGGACTATGGACCCTAATCGGGAATCAACTGGGGATCCTTCATGGGGCCCTGTCGTTGCCACCACATTACTGGGCCCGGTCTGACCACCACACAGACATTTCTCATGGTTAGTGTTGTGATACAGCTACACCTAGCAGGTGCAGGTCCATAGGTGCACCAGCAACTTTGCATTTCATGAAATTTGATTCCCTGTTTTGCTTGTTATAATTGGCCCACCACCAAATACCCCAAGCAACACAAAAATACCACTATTAATAAAAGATTATTAAAGCCAGACAAAGCTACATATAGATGCCTTTTGGTACACCTGTGGAAGACCCTCTAATGCACCCAAGGTTATACTCCTTCAGGAAATCATAACAGACTCTAATTACAGAAAATAAATATGATCTATTCTATTTTATAAAAATACTTTACAAAATGCACATTTTGGACTATTGCCTAATATCAAAAATATTGAAAATCTGCAGACAGACATACAGTGTAGGAGGCTACAACAGTGACTCTCCCACTAACCAACAATACAGGAAATGCAAAATCAATATTCATATTTATAATGGCAGCCATGAATACTCTTTAATAGTTTCTGTAATATTTGAAAGCATTTTTTGTTACATACAAATTTACATTATATACAAATAAATTCAGCACACACACCATTACATGTATATTTTCTCTCTCTCTCGCTCCCCTTCCCTCTCTCCTTCTCCTCTCGCCTCTCACCCCTCTTCTTCTCTTCCTTTCCCTTCTCTCCCTCTCCCCCTCTTGTTCTTCTCTTCTCCTTTTCCCTTCTCTCCCGTCCCCAGCTATTTTAACTTCTCTTTCTCCTTTCCTTCTCTCTCTCTCCCCCACATCTTTTATACTTCTCAAATTCCTCCTTCCCTTGCAATCTCCTCTTCCCCCTGCTTTTCTATCTCTTCTTCCTTTCTTACTTTCTCCACTCTCCCTTCTCCCTCTCCCTGCTCCCTCTCCCCCCTCCCTCTTCCTCTCATCACCTCTCGCTCTGCCTCAATCCCTCTCGCCTCCTCCTCTCCCTCTGCCCTCCACACCACTACACTCTCACCATCTCCTCTACCTCTCCCTCTCAACCTCTCTCTCTCTCTCTGTCTCTCCCTCTCTCTCTCTCTCTGCTCTCTCTCTCTTCTCATCTCTCTCTCTCTCTCTCCTCTCACTCTCCTCTCTATCTACTCTCTTCTTTTGTCTCTCGATTCTCTCCCTCCTGGCGCCTGGGCAGATAGTATGGCGGGCAAGGGCCAAAATGAAAACAAAACAAACCCGGAATTTATCCTGCACAGCATTTGTCTAGGTGAAAAATCATCGCCTGTACTGGGAAGAAAAGGATTTATTTACGTTTCTTCACGTCCACGACCATTAGGCTATAATCTTCATCTCTCTCTTTATGTGTCGACTCTCTTCTCTCTTCTGCTCACCTCACGGAAACTCACAAAACAAAAAAAGTAAACATCCGCAATCTATCGTTAAACAATTAATTCACTGCTACATTAATACCCCGGTAGAGAGCGCGTATCCACTTCCACCACTCTCTACCTCGTCTCTCCCTCGTACTCTCCATCAGGGCACCACCTTTCCATTCCTCTTCCCGCCCTGGTTCTGCGCCTCTCATATCCAGCCAAGCTCCATTTCCTATCCGTACATAATGTCCCCGGTGTTCTACTTAACACATAGAATCTCATCAAAATGCGCACTCCTCTTCAATAAGTCATTACTACATTTATCATCCTATTCTTCTCAGTGACCATCTCACTCTCACTCTATCCCTTCATCGTACTCCCTATCGCCCCTCCCCTTCCCCTGACGACCAACCCTATGACCGCCTCACCCCTCGCTACCCTCCCCGCTCAGGCCTCGTACAAACCCTCCCCCTCACCCCTGTCACACCTCGCATATCCCTACCCCGCTCTAGTCCCCTTCTCACTCCCATAATCGGAACAGTAGAATTAGAATATTAAATATATAACCTCCTCTTATCCAAAAAATACTAAATTTATTAGTCCATTCCTAGCCATTATTAAAGAAATGAATAGAATAACCCTCGCCTCCTCCCCTCATACGCCTCCACTCCTTCCCCAGCACCCGCCACGTAAGCTAACCCGCACAATTTAACAGCTCCCCGTGTCATCCAAGTCCCCGTCCCCGTCCCACTTATAGATTTTTACCCGCCCATATTGCCCCCAGTTCCCCATGTATGTCGATTCCACTCGTTCCCTCGTCCCAGTCCGCCAATTATGTCCCCACGTGCCAATTTGTTGTGTGCCACTCAGTCCAACATTACCACACTCGGTAAGAAAATCGATGTAGGAATCACCACCCTCCCGTCCACCGGTGACAATCCGCCGTTAACACTCCCATCATATATCATATGAATAAGCCGGAGAACCGTACACGGGTTAAGTTTATTCAATCAGGTGGAGGCGGAGGGGCTGACCCATCTACGACTAAGGCAGTAGAATATAGACCGGCGAATTGAGGGTAGGAGGTGGATACCGTTACTATTTTTTTCAGTTTCGGAGTAGTGCTTGGGGAGGTTGAGGGGGAGATGTTTCAGCCGCCCCGGCCCCGTACTATCTCGGCTCCGCACGTCTCGCCATAGACCATACTCCGGTATCCCACCTCTTCCCAGGCGCGAGCGCGTATCCCAGTCACCCTTGTAGAGCGTTGATGTATCCTATCCACTCTCCCAAAATCTCACAGCTACCCGGCGGGAGCATCTTCCATCCCGATGGAGTATACCCCAAATTTCCGTCCCGTGCCCCATTGCCTGTCCTCTTTCCCATTCTCCACTTTTACTCCCAATCGTATGCATGTTCTTTATTGTTTTACCTGGCGCTGCTAGCCCTTTCGGTCCTAGCCTCTCACAATGTTCCTTAGCGGTGAAACGATCTTCAGCAGCCCTTAGCCTCAGATTCTTTTTCACCTCTTTCGTATCTGTACTTTTTCTCCTAATCGTCTGTTTCATCTGTTTGGTTTATCTCTGGCACTGTTTCTAATTTACTAGCTCCTCTTCTACCATCCCACTGCTCTCCCTGTTTGCTTTACCATCCACCAATTCTTCTTCATTTCTCGAAATCATCTCAATACACTTCCTAAGTATCCTCTCTTTTCTTTCTCTTTCTCTTTACTCCTTTTTTCCTCCTACCATTCGCTTCTTTTTGCCCTCTATTCTCTCATTTGGCAACTTCCTCTTATTGCTGAATTTGAATTTCTTTTCCTTCAATTTCCTTTATCTTTCGTTTTGTCTTCACCGCACAAACGCTAATTCCCTTCTTCTGCCTTTTTCCCTCCTTAATTCATGCTGCTTTTCTATCTTCTCCCTCTTTAACATACCCTTTTCTTTCGTTTGAATCTGCTCTCTTTTCTTGCTTTCTTGATTCATGCATTCCTATATTATCTTTGCCCTACTAAAGACCTTTTCAGTTTCAAGAAAGACCTTCCCATTATTTATTTTGCTGCCACCATCCACCTCTCACTGACTCACACTTGTGTCATGTCTCTCGACATTACATAGATGAGAAAAATAAAACCCCATTATCATTTAGCTCATTTTCCGTACCCTGTTAAAAATATGAGCAATTGTAATGACAAACAGTGGATAGCAGTCAAGTCACTTTTCATTCTTCAGACTACCACTACTTGAAAAAAATGAATGCATCTAATAAAGAATAAATGCCCTCAATTTTAGGTATTTCTAGTGCAATTCACTCTAATGGAATAATAATGTCTCTGGATCACAACAAATGTCCAGCAAACCTAAACCTACCTCTTCAGTAGGTGAAGTTGGAGGAGATCTTGGTGACTGTGAATTTCTGTTGTTTTGGTTGAAGGTATCATCATTATGAGAAATGTCTTGTTGACTGAAAAAGTATACATTATATAAATTGATTGTTTAGTTTATCTGAATAAATAACTTCTACAAAGAAAGTATCATTTTTTTTAACTTACATTCTCTTAGTGAGTGCAAAAGTGGAAAACTAAGTATCAAATTTCACAAAGCAACAAAGACTTAGATCATCTGCAGCTATAGACAACTCTTAATAGAACAAACTAGCTGGCCTGCTGATCATGCCAAGTATCTGTACAGCCAAATATATCATCTCATTGAAAGATCCACTTAAATTGTTTAATTTCTTTAACTTTTGTGATCATTTGACTGGTTATTTTCTGAAAATATATGAGATCTACTTTATAAACTTTAGACAAAAAAGGAATAAAACAACTGCTGCTGGTGGCTGCTCCTGGGTTGCAGGTGGGGCAGATGCTCATTTCTCATCATCCTGGAGTGCAAAGGGATCTTACACCTATCTTGCATTCTGAGCGTCGTTCATTAGCACATGGGAACTTCTCGCTTTGAAACAATTAATGAACTACCTCATGTTGAATAAATCAGGGAAGCCTGCAGTAAACAGAATGTTTAAGA